CCCGCTGCGGGCAAGTCTCGTGCGTTGCGGTTTGCGTTGTCGGCGGCCCCGAAAACGAATTCCGCGCGCGTGGCTAATGGGCTGCGCGTTAGTGGATTTCGCTTGTGTTCATGGCGGGGACCTTCCAGAAGGTCTGAGAGTCTGATAACGACAAGGTCTTGGGGGCATGCCTGGCCGCGCTGGTCATTCTTTCCTGCCTCGTCTGTGCCGCGACTGAGCGGGGTCGGTGGGCGACTGGGGCGGGGGTGGATGCTCAGCTGCGGCAGCTCTGGCCAGGCGCGCCGTCGTGTCTGAGAGACTCGCATGGCCGTGGGTCTTCAAAGCCCTCCGCTGCTGGGGCCCATCAGGCACGCGCGAGCGATGGGTTTCAAAGAGGGGGCCTCCTGTTTGGCGTCGCATATTGCGGGGGGCCTTTGGACGCAGCGCACGTCGTGCCACTCGAGAGCTGTCGCTTCCCCAGTCAGCAAGGCGCGCCAGGAAGAGTCTGGAGACGCCCCGCGCAGGTTGCTCACTCGGTGCGCGCGCGATGGCCTCGACCTCGAGGCCGTCGCGAAAGCTGGTCTATATTGCGAGGCAGATGATGCTTTCATGGTTCGGTGCCTCGTGGATTCTAAGCTCCGCCCCCAGCCGCCGCCCGATCAGACTGGACAGGCGTTCAGCGATGGGCCGCTGGCGGGGGGCGCGTTCTCTGGGGTTGTTGCCATCGATGGGAACCTCCTTGATCCTGCCCCCCCCCCTTTGCTCGAGGAGGAGATGGGGGGGGTCCTGTTGCAGCGCGGCAGCTCTCAGGGGGCGATATTTGGGCCTCTGCCCGCGGCGGCGCAGGAGATTGGCGTCGCAGAGCCTGGGTTCTTTTTTTTCCGTATCTGTGCCTGTTTGCGGGGTCCATCACGGTCGTCGCCGATTGCTGAGCGAGCGTGAATGGGCCTGCGGTCGGCAAGAGTACATGCATTTCCCCGAACCGAGTCCATTCCGACTTTCGGGTCAAGAGTCAAGATCTGGTTTAAGTTGGGGGATCAGGGGCCCGATGTTGTCGCGGCCCGCTGGGCTGCCGCCCGCAAGTCGTGGTCCGAGGCCCACGCGGGGCATCTTGGCTCCATTTTCGCAGCAATAAGTTGGCGGATGATTTCGCCGAACAGAGGGCCAGGAAGAACCCGCGCGATGATGATCGGGCCGACTGCAGAGGATTCGCGCGGTCGGCCAGCAGGCATGTGGCGTATTATGTTGGTAGGATCTTTCACCACTTCGCTCGCGCTGGTTCTCCCGGCGCCGATCACCCCGGGGCTCCTCGAGTCCCTTTTGACCTCTTGGACTTGGTTTGGGATCCCAGAGGCCACCAGCTCAAACGGGTCCGAGGCCGCGGGGGGTGCGTCTCTTGTGGCAGGTCGAGGGGCACTCGCGGCAAAGTCATCCCTCGACCGTGCCCAGGCGCCACTGACATGCTTGCCCAACGCTCACTCATCCCATCGGTTCTGGTGGGCGGGCAGCTCTGTCGCAGGCTTGGCCCTGTGTTCTCAGCGTGGGGCCCACGGGACCAAGCATGTGCTCAAGATTGGGCGGCCTTGCACGCCGCCGACGGCGTGGGGCTTTCGGTCGCTGCGAGCGCTGAAGAGGGGCAAGGACCCTTCTTCGGGATCGATCCTCCCCCACTCCTTCCCTGTTTCTCCTCCGCGGGAGCCTCGGGAGTTGGGTTGGGTGGGAGGTCTCCGCTCCGTCCTCTCCGAGCTCGACGGCCCCGAAGCTTTTCACCGCGCCCAGGGCCCTCCTGCCCCAGGAGCGGTGGCCGTCGCCGTCGCGGCAAAGCAGGCGCCGCCCCACGCGGCCGCCCAGCGCACAGGGGGGGCCAGCGCGGTGGCGGAAGTCGCAATAGCGCCACCCGCGGCCGGCCCCTCCTGAGGCGTTGGTGTGCGCTGGATCTTGAGGTGGTCCCATCGTGGGCCGCCTCCAAAGGAGCGGAAAGCGGAAAGAAGAGGAGGAAGAGGAGGAGGAGGAGGAGGAGGAGGAAGATGAGGAATGATAATCAGAGGAGGGGGACGAGGAAGAGGAAGAGGAAGCATAAGCAAACGAATCGTAATAAAAATAACAGATAGTAACACGGCAAGAAACGACGAATAATATGAAGAAACATCTTAATAATAATCCGAATAAGAAGAATCGTAGTACTAAGAAGAGTTGTAATAAGAAACATGTTGAGACGAACCTACATAAGAATAACAATAGCAATACGACTACGAATACTCATACTTTAATAAAAGTATGAAGAAGAGGAATGATATGAAACATAAGAACAGTAATAATCGTAATAATACTAATAATCGTAGTACTAGTAGTACTACACTACTACTACTACTACTACTACTACTACTACTACTACTACTACTACTACTACTATTAATAATAATACTAATAATCATAATAATGAGAAGAGGGGGTAGAGTAGCGCGTGCAGTGAACAGACTTTGTCGGGCAGTTTCAGGAGCAGGAGGAGGAGGAGGAGGAGGAGGAGGAGGAGGAGGGGGGGAAATTGGAGGAGGAGGAGGAGGAGGAGGAGGTGGAGGAAGAGGAGGAGGAGGAGGCGGGGGATGATGGGGGGAGGGGGAGGTGGTTCCCTGCTCTCGCTCCGCCCGTGTTCCCTCCCCTCTCCCTCCCTCTTCCTCCCCTCGTCTTGGTTGTCGCCGTCGCCGTCGCCGTCGCCGCCGGCGTCGTCGTTGTCGTCGTCGTCGTCGTCGTCGCCGTCGCGAGGCGCCCCGCAGCAAGACCCCGTCTGGGACCAGCGAGCGGTCGCGCCCGGCCAGCGTGGCCGGGGGCTGCCCGCCGCTGGAGCAGCTCGGCCCAGTGACGCCGCAGGCCAGGAGTGGGGCGGCGCCAAGCGACGACGGTCGTCCCTGCTCCAATCGAGGCGGAATACTCCCATCGTGACGGGCGACGATCGAAATGGGCATGGGAAGAATGCGTACGATGCCCAGCAGCAGTTCTGGTTCATTCTCAATTGGATTCGCTGTCCGCGCCGCCGCGGCTTGTGTCCGTTTGAGACAAACGGCCGCCTGCCCCAGCGGCCGCTGTCGATTTGGGACAACATTTGTTGTTAGGCATTGTACCCATTTTTGTCCGTACCCATTTCGGGCGTCCAAATCCAATGTTCCAGATCACCGACTCTCTGATTTTCTTCGCCCTGGCGTTTTTCTTCGGTTTCGGCCCCTGGGCGTCGCTGCTCCAAAGGTCCCAGATTTCCGCCTTCCTACTTTCGTTAGCCTTGGCGTTTGCCTTCGACTTCGGCCCCTGGGGCTCGTCATTGGGCCCCAGGGCATCGAAGCGTTGCTCCTGGGTGGGAAACTGGCCAGGGGGAGCGGGTGTGGATCTCGGGGGCCGCGCACTGGAAACAGCGCATCGTCGGATGCCTGGGGTCGTCGTCGTCGTCGTCGTCGTCGCCGCCGCCGTCGTCGTCGTCGTCGTCGTCGTCGTCGATATGCCGAAGGCAGGGCCGCCTGCGATCCGATTCGATTCGGCATGATTCGCTGTCCGGGCCGCGATCCCGATTCGGTTCGGTTCGGTTCGCCAGCATCGGCTGGGGCCGGCCAGAGCGCCAGGCGCGGCGATACGATTTTGATTATGGACGATTCGCTGGCGATCCGATCCGTTTCCGATCCGATCCGGTTTCGCGATTCAATCCAGCTATGGCCTGAAAGGACATCGTCTTCGCTATGCCGAAGGTTGTTATCATCGTGGTCGCTACGCGGAATGTCGTCGTCGCTACGCCTAATGACGTTGTCGGCGTCGGAGCAGGAGGAGGTCAAGCACAAGTGCACGGGTGATAAAAAGCTAGAGTTTCTAGATCACGCTTGTACTCGGGCACATCATATTCTTGGGGTGGTGATGGGGAAGCGTTGATAATGATAGCGACGATGAGGAGGAGGAGGAGGAGGAGCAGTAGGAGGAGGAGAGGGCCAGGAATGGATCTGTCACCTCCACCCCCTCTTCCACTCCTTCCTCTCCCTCTTCTCCCCCTCCATTCTTGCTCCCTAGAAGCAATTCCTCCCTGTCGCACCCCGAGGCCAGTCGGAAAGGTGGGCTGGGCTCTTTCCGCCTGACATTTCCTCACCGTCAACGATCCTCATGCTCGAGTTTTGCAGCATTGTATAGATGGTGGGCGGGGTGTTTTCAAAATGCGGCTTTCGCCTTAGCGTCGCGCGCACTCGTCTTTCATATTTGTAAGAGCTTCACGGATTGAGGCCGGGTGGTTCTCGCCTTAACGCACATTGCAACAGCTTCACGCATTGAGGGCGGATGGTTTTCAAGTTGTGGTTCTCGCCTGAGCGCCGCGCACATACATCTTAAACATGTTCAACAGCTTCACGTACCGAGGACGGTTCCTTGTCAAATCGTGGCTCTCGCCTTGGCGCCGCGCACATTTGTCTCAAGACATTGCAAGAGCTTCACGGAATCCCATGGTTAATGTACCAGAAATGGAGTTCTGGAGCGATTCGGGGTTGTCAGGGCGCAACAGTTACGTTGATTCGCGGCGTTGAAGTCCCAGGAATGGTTTTCTGGCACGATTGGGGATCGTCCAGACGCAACAGTCAAGTTGATCCGTGGCATTGAAGTTCCGAGAATGGTGTTATGGCACGCTTCTGGATATTCCAACGGTTGTCTTGAGTGGAATTAACCCATTTAGGCGCCTAGAAAGAAGGATCTTGGAGGGAGGATGGATTCAAGCATCGTTAATGCGTTTGGGTTTACACTGGTCCCCCTCCTCCCCTCCTTCTCTCCTCCTTCTCCTCCTCCTCCTCCTCCTCCTCCTCCTCCTACTCCTACTCCTACTCCTCCTCCTCCTCCTCCTCCTGCTCCTCCTCCTCCTCATCCTCCGCCTCTCTCTTTCTTTCTTTCTTTCTTTCTCTCTCTCTTTCTCTTTCTCTTGCTCGGAGGTCTTCATGACGGGGAAGGGCGCACGTAGCAGCAGGAGCAGAAAGTGGGAAGGGCTTGATAGGGGGCACGAACAGGAGGGGGAGAAGGAGGGCCCGAAGGACCCGCGGGCCTCCCCGAGCAAAACGGGCCCGCGGTCGCTGCGGTTTATCCTTCCCTGCCTTTCCCTCCTCCCCCCCCCCTCACCTCCTCCACTCCTCCTTCCTCCTCCCTCCTCCCCTTCCTCCTATCCTCCTCCTTCCAATCCTTCCCCCTCTCAACCTCCTCTCCCCTCCTCCCCCCTCCCCCCTCCCCCCCTCCTCCCCTCTTCCCTCCCTCCTCCTCCCCCCTCCCTGCATGCCCTGCAGAACAGAACGAGAGAAGAGTGTGTCGGGTTCTTTCCTCCACTCTGACTCTTCCGACTCTAAGGGCATGTGTCCGTTCAGGCTAATTAGGTAGCCCCCCCCGTCTCCATTTCTTCCCAGACCCCCGGCGTCTTGGCTCTTGCACGATGTGGTCCCTCAGGTCTGAGAGAGCGCGTTTCACGGGCGCTCGCCTTGGAAACATTCGGCGGCGCGTTTCGAACCAGGGGTGCCCCCCCCCCCCCAACACTCGGCGCCGTCGATCAAAACCAGGGCGACTCCCAACCCCCCCCCACCGTCCCAAGGGTGGGGGTTGAAAACCCCTCCCCTCGATGACCAGAGGCAGCCCACGGGGGGGGGTCCAAACCCCTCCCCCCCCCCCCTGGTGCCTGCGCCGGCGCCAGCGCTGACGGCGGCCAGCAACGTCGGCGGCTGGCGCCGGCGACGGCGGGGACGACCAGCGACGATACCACCTACCACCAACCACCACACCACCACCACCCCCAACCCACCACCCCACACAACCACCACCACCACCACGACCAAGCCACCACCACCACCACAACCATCACCACCGCAACTCACCATCAGCATCACCACCACAAAAACCCACGACCACTACCACCACCACCACCACCACCACCACAATCTACCACACCACCACCACCACCGCCACAACCACCACCATTACCAGCAGCACAACCCACCACCACCACCACAACACCACCATCGCCACCACCACCATCACCAGCACCACCTCCACAAACCACCGCCACCACCACAACCCACCACCACCCCCACAAAGCACCACCACACCACCACCAAACCACCACCACCACCACAACCCACCACCGCCACCACCACCACCACCACAAACCACCACCACCACCACCACACCACCACCAAACCAGCACCACTACCACCACCACCACCACCACCACCACCACCTCCACCACTTCCACCCACCACCACAACCACCACCACCACAACAAACCACCACACCACCACCGCCACAAACCACCACCACCACCGCCACGACCACCACCACAACCCACAACCACCACCACCGTCGTACTCGTCGACGCTACCCGGACAGCCCCCGCCGCCCGCCGCCGCAGGTGCCGGCGCCGGCCCAGAAAAGGAAATCGTCGTCCCCTCCGCCGCCGCCAGTCGCCGTCGCCGCCTGCCGCCGCCGCCGCTAGGAGAGGGGGGGCGGGGTCCGGTTCCAACACCTCTCCCCCTCCAAGCGACCATAGAACGCGCTCTTTCTCAGGTCTGGACCCCTTCTCCGGGGCCGGCTCCTCATGTGGACTGGTCTTTGGCCCTTCCTGGGCGACGAGGAGGAGGAGGAGGAGGAGGCGGAGGAGGAGGAGAAGGAGGAGGAGGAGGAGGCAAGGAGCGGAAGGTTGTCTTGTGAGGGCCCCTGGGGAGGCGCCGACCAGTGCCCCAGACCTGCCTTCGTGGCCTTCTCGCGGCGCGCGGAGACATGGGCCTCCCCCGTGCGCCCCCCGAAGCAGAGGCCGCGACCCGCGGCCGCGTGTTCGGCTCGCTGAGCTCGACCGCGCTCCTGGGCGGCACGCTCTGAGTCCTACGCCTCGTGCCGGGGCGGCCCCTAAGATCAGGGGCAACGTGCCCATGCCCCCTCGCATTGTGGAGAACTCGCGGCGGGGCGGTGGGGCCGCTGTCTTCTGCAGCTTCCGGGGGCCTTCACCGGGCCCCGGGACCGCCGAAAAGCGACTCGGGATGAAAAGGCGGTCCCGGGGAAAGGGTCCAGACCTCTGGCGGTCGCCGTCGTTGTGAAAACATCACGACGTCGGAGATCTTGGTGAGGAGGGGATGGATTCAGGGGGGACGCATCGACACCAATCGCCTATTCGTCGCCGACAGGGGCCGGATACTAGTAGCACGTCCCGCCCGGGAACGTGCGGATTCGCCACCGGGGCCTCACCTATTTGTCGGCAGTGCATCGCTGCTTCCAGGTCGAAGTTCCGCCCCCCGGAGCCGGTCCCCCCTGACGTTGTCCCTCAGCCCTTCGCCTCGTGTTGGGGCGTTTCCTGTGAGGCCAGGGCTGCGCCAGAAGGGGGTCCGGAATCGCCAACAGCAGACAGAGTTCAAACGGTCGGCTCCATCTGCGCTGCCATCGCGAGGCGCAAAATGCATTGATGCAGCGAGCGGCCGTAAGCACGAAGGAGGAGGGCGGAGAGGCGTAGGAGAGGCTTCTCGTCGCCGCGGCTGGATGACCCTCTTTGAGGTTACGCAACCCACACGACAGGCCCCGGAGACGAGTTCTGGAGCAGGGCTTCCTTGAGGAAGGGAGGACAAAGGGGCCCTGGAGGAAGAGGGGGGGTTCTGGAGGACGAGTGGGCTCTGGAGGAAGTAGGCCCTCGAGGTGGAGTTTTTGGCGCCGCTCCGCCTGTTCCCAGGAGCCCAGGATGAAACAACGGGTCCCGAGGAAAGCCTCTGGGGTCCAGGGCGTTTTTTGTTGCCCTTCGTGCCAACAGCCATGAAGAGGAGGAGGAGGAGGTGGAGGAGGTGGAGGAGGAGGAGGAAGAGGAGGAGGAGGAGGACGAGGAGGAGGACGATGAGGAGGAGGAGGAAGAGGAACGGAAGGACGAGGAGGAGGAGGCGAGGAAGAGGAGGAGGAGGAGGAGGAGGAGGAGGAGGAGGAGGAGGAGGAGGGGGAGGAGGAGGAGGAGGAGGTATTGGAGGAGCAGTCTTTTGCAGTTGGACAGGTCGCTGGCCATGCGTGCGGAGAGACTCCTCTTCGACTCCCCCCTTCTTCCCCTGCTTTTGCTTCTCTGTGCGTCGGTCCCGCTCGGATGCGTTAGGTCAGAATCGGGTTCCCTCTGATTCTTATAAAGATACCACTATTCTAGCTCGCGAACTCATACCCGAAAAAGAGCATACCCGACACGGCCACACCCAAAAGAGCCACTCTAAACTCGTTCAGGCATGCTCAGAAACATACCAATCTACACTTCTTACGCACGCCCAGCGACCCCACTCGCACGCCTTAAGTACACACCTATCATTTGGCCTCCTAGATTTGTTCCCCACCATCATGTGGTGTTGGGTGCTCGTTTTGAAGAGACAGCGCCCCGCGTCTCTTTCCTCGCCTCTCTTCTCCTCTCCTCTCCTCTCCTCTCCTCTTCTCTCCTCTCCTCTCCTCTCCTCTCCTCCTCCCCCTCCTCACGCTCCTCCCTTCTCTCCCTCCTCTCACCATCAGCATCATCACCATCATCATCGTCATCATCATCATTATCGTCATCATCATCATAATCAGCATCATCATCATCATCGTCGTCGTCATCATCATCATCATCATCATCATCATCATCATCACCATCACCATCATCATCATCATCATCATCAACATCATCATCATCATCATCATCATCATCATCATCATCATCATCAAACTCGTCACCGTCATAGTAATCACCATCGTCATCACCATTACGGCCGCCATCATCACCATCGTCGTCATCGTTCCCCGCCCATTCCTGCATGCCCTCACACGGTTTGTGGCCCCATATGGAGTTCCACCGAATGCCCCACCCAGTGGCAGGATTCGCATGCAGTTCCATCTTCATCTCGGCGCACCCCTCACACGTTTCGTGGCCCCATAGGGAGCTCCACCGAAGGCCCCAGTGGCAGGGTTCGCATGCAGTTCCACCGTCATTTCGACGCACCCCTCACACGGTTCGTGGCCCCATAGGAGGCTCCACCGAAGGCCCCAGTGGCAGGATTCGCATGCGGTTCTACCTTCATCTCGGCGCAACCCTCACGCGTTTCGTGGCCCCATAGGGGGCTCCACCGAAGGCCTCAGTGGCAGTGTTCGCATGCAGTTCCATCCTCATTTCGGCGCACCCTTCACACGGATCGCGGCCCCATAGGGGGCTCCACCGAAGGCCCCAGTGGCAGGGTTCGCATGGTGCACCTTCATGTCGGCGCACCCCTTACACGGTTCGTGGGCCCCACAGGGAGCTCCACCGAAGGCCACAGCGGCAGGGTTCGTATGCAGTTCCGCCCCCATGTCGGCGCACCCCTCACACCGATCGTGGCCCCACAGGGAACTCCACCGAAGGCCCCAGTGGCAGGGTTCGTATGCCACCTCCATCTCGGCGCACCCCTCATACGGTTCGTGTCCCCATAGGGAGCTCCACTGAAGGAGAACCCGGAGAACCCAGAGAACCCGGAGAACCCCGGAGAACCCCGGAGAACCCGGAGAAGCACGGAACCCAGAGAACCCTGGACAATCCCAGAGAACCCGGAGAACCCCGGAGAACCTTGGAGAACCCCCAAAGAACCCCTTGAGAACCCCGGAGAACCCCCGAAGAACCCGGAGAACCCGGAGAACCTGGAGAACCGGGAGAACCCCAGAGAACCCCTGGAGAACCCAGAGATCCCAGAGAACCCGGGGAACCCGGAGTACCCGGAGAACCCGGAGAACCCCTGGATAACTTTGGAAAACCCCCGGAGAATCTGGAGACTCCGCCGGAGAACCCAGAGAACCCGGAGAACCCGCAGAACCCAGAGAACCCGGGGAACCCTAGAGAACCCCAGAGAACCCGGAGAACCCGGAGAACCCCCTGAGATCCCGGAGAACACGGAGAACCCCGCAGACCCCCCGGAGAACCCCCAGAGAAACCCCGGAGAAACCAGAGAACCCGGAGAACCCGGGAGAACCCGGAGAACCCCGGCCAACCCGGGGAACCTTGGAGAACCCGCGGAGAACCCCCGGAACCCGGAAAATGTTTTATAAAGAACCCAGAGAATCCCCAAAGAACACCCAAAGAACCCCCGGAGAAGTTGGAGATTCCGGAGAACCCCGGAGAACCCGGAGACTCTGGAGAACCCCCGGAGATCCCTTGGAAAAAAAAACCCAAAAGAACCCGCTGAACCCCCCGGAGAACCCGGAAAACCTTTCAGAACCCCCAGAGAACCCAGAGAACCCCCGGAGAACCCGGAGAACCCCCGGAACCTGGAGAACCTCGGAGATCTCCGGGGAATCCCCAGAGGAGAAACCCGGAGAACACCCGGAGAACCCGGAGAACCCCGAGAACCCTCGGAACCGGAGAACTTCGGAGAACTCGGGGAATCCCCGGAGAAACCCGGAGAACCCCCGGAGAACTCGGAGAACCCCCCGATCCCGGAAGTTTGTAGAACCCCTGGAGAACCCCTGGAGAACCTAGAGAACCCAGAGAACCCGGAGAACCCGGAGAACCTGGAGAACCGGGAGAATCAGAGAACCCCGGCGGCTCTCGGCCCCATAGGGAGTTCCACCGAAGGCCCCAGTGGCAGGGTTCGCATGCAGTTCCACCGTCATGTCGGCGCACCCCTCACACGGTTCTTGGCCCCATAGGGAGCTCCACCGAATGCTTCAGTGGCAGGGTTCGCATGCAGTTCCACCGTCATCTCGGCGCACCCCTCACACGTTTCGTGGCCCCATAGGGAGCTCCATCGAGGGCCCCAGCGGCAGGGTTCGCATGCAGTTCTGCCCCTTTGTCGGTGCCCCTCTCACACTGTTCGTGGCCCCATAGAGGGCTCCACCGAAGGCCCCATCGGCAGGGTTCGCATGCAGTTCCATCGTCATCTCGGCGCACCCCTCACACGGTTCGTGGCCCCATAGCCCATAGGGAGCTCCACCGAAGGCTTCAGTGGCAGGGTTCGCATGCAGTTCCATCCTCATTTCGGCGCACCCCTCACGCGGTTCGTGGCCCCGTAGGGGATTCCACTAAAAACGATTCTCACATGTGCGGCACCCACAATTGCATATGGTTGGGTCCTTCGCCAGGCTAATTAAATGATGAAAGGGGATCCAAAGGTAGACACGTATGCAGTGCAAGTGGCAACATTCACATGGGTGAAGCGAAACAGAGCACAGACGTGGCATCATAATCTCAGAAGGGCTTGGAGCGGCGGCAACTTCTTAGGGTTATGCCAGGCAAAAGAGGCAGAGCTGGGCAAACACATGGGACTTACAGGAGCGTCAGCGAGGGAGCTACTGTGATCAAGAGGGAAGGGTACGGGACGGGGCTGGAGGGATAGGATGGATAGGGCAGCCAGGACATTACAGGAATTTGCGATTCGTTGTCAATGAAGCGCACATCGTGTGGTTCTCGGTCTGCTGCTTCCTGCTACTTTCCAGCCTGATGGTTCGCGAAGCAATTCGTCCCCTCGTCCCATCATCATCCTCCTCCACCGCCTTCCAGCGTGACGACTCCCCGCAGATTCGTGTCCTCTGTTATTGCCATACGTGTCGGATGTGCCATGACGTGCTGGTACGTCTCCAGGTAATGTGTTATCAGCCTCCAGTTGGAGGGCAAGGTGGAAGAGGTGGAGAATGAGGGAAACGATAAGGAAGATACCGAGGATGAGGACGGGAAGGCATGGGAGGAGGAAGCACGATGAGGAGGACATTGATTAAGAGCAGGAAGGATGAGTAAGGATGAAGAAGATAAGGAGGAACGAACAGTACAGCAACGAATCCATAGACCTCGTTTCACCTCGGAGCCAAAGACTACTATCGTAAATGTTTGTTTGCAGGTCATTTCGACAGCGACGGTTGGCAACGATGTCTTCGAGACACCAGGAAAAGCAGATGTGTTGTGCAGACCTTTCGTGACACCACGCAGCACACGGGAGGGGCAGCAGCACGAGGATAACGAGGATGCCGAGCAAGACGGGAGTTAGGAGGGGGAAGAGAAGAGGAGGGGGAAGAGAAGACGAGGAGGGTAGTAAGTCGAACATGACGGGAGATATTTAGTAGGGGGAAGAGAAGAGGGCGGAAGAGGGCGGAACGAGTCGAGGCGGTGCAACACATGGATTCAGGCGCTTGGATCAGCGACGGGTCTCGCTTCCGTATAGAATCGGCGGTCTTGGCCGCCAGATCAGGCGGCGTTCTTGGTCGCCAGGTCAGGCGACATTGGCCTCACATTTCGAGGGCACCTTCCCCGATCCATGGATCCGGCGCCCGCACGCCAGATCCACGGATCACTGATCCATGTTAGCGCGTGCCCGACGGAGGGAGGGCCCAGGAGCAGGAGGACGATGAGAAATGGGGGAGACACGGGGGAGATGACCTTTAGATGCTCGTTTGGGGGACCTTCCTGGTGCCGACCTAACGGATGTGTTCGACTCCAGTTCGACCCC